GGTTCGCTTTCGGCGGAAGACTAGCTTGTCACTTGATGCTAAGAATGACCCCCCGACTGAGAAGAAGAAGTCGCAAAACTTTATGCTCCTCACACCTGAACAACTTCATCGCAAGAATGAGACTTCCAAGGCCTATCACCGTGGCTACAACGAGGCTATCAAAAAAGGCCAAAGCAAGGATAGTGCAAAGGCTTACGGTAGACGAGAGGCACAAAAAGTCCGGGACGAGCTGGATAGCAAGAATGAGCAGGACTCCTGAAGGAGAGCACAGTAGAGCTGAAAGTTCTACAGGGTTTTGTATTCTGCAGAGAAAGTCTGCACGGAATGGAGCTTTTGCAGGAGAGTATAGGTCATCCACTTCGATGGTGCCGTTTTGTGTGTGTCTCAACCTCGGACAGCTCGTCCTTGCAATCATGGCTATGTCAGGCTGTGTCTGTGGCAGAAACAGAATCTAGCCCTTTTTGCAGTGCAGTGACTTGTGCCAGGGGCTGTGGTTGTGTGCATTTTCCTGTTGCAGACTTTGAGAGACACAACTTTGAGAGAGAGAGAGAGAGAGAGATTTGTTCGTTTTGAGATGTTGGTGTGACACTCATGCATGACTTTGAGAGACTCTGAGGGAACATCGGTCACATTGCAAGCAATCCAAAATCGAACCATTCCCAGCCTTACACACCTTATAAGTAGGCAGCCCCTCCCACATCGAAAGTGTTGTGCATTGATCCTTATATACCCAGTCTCCACTGCCACACCACTCCAAGTTCACTCCACTCCAAGTCCACACACACACACACCACTCCAGGTCCACTTCACTCCAAGTCCACTCCACCCAAGGCCTTTGCACTCTCGCTCTCTATACTGCTATTTCTCGGGCTTTTAGGCGATAGAGGGTTTTGGGGGTAGGTGTGGGCGGGACTGGAAACCCTAAGCCCTAAACCCTAAACCCTAAACCCTAAACCCTAAACACGGCTTTAGGTTTCTGGTGTTCGCGAACCTCAGTAAGACCATGGTTTGGCATCGGTTACAGAAGGTGTCAGGGTGCAAGCTAATATGTTTGAGCAATTGGGTTGGGCTTAGGGGGTGTTATGGTTCAGAGTGTATGTTCAAGCCAACATAAATGATCTCGCATAGAGTCGTATTGTGGACT